ATATAATTTGGACTGTTTAGATTTTTATTTTCTTTTTATTTTATACAATAAAATCAAGAACATAATGCGTGGGATAAGGCGTCCATTAATTTTTTGAGGGCCTGGACCTTAGCATAAGCTAAGCTTAATTTTAGCCCGATACAACTATAAATTCAGAACTAAAAATTATGCTAAGCGTATACTCAGCAAAGTTTTTCGTAAGTAAAGTCTGAGCAAAGTCAAAGTACGGTATATAGACCTCATCCTAAGTATCCTCATACGGCCAGCTGTGAAGGACCACGTCTCAATTCCATATGTCATCACTGGCAACTCAAACTAGTTGTAGACTTTCGGTTCTAATTAAAAAGTCAAGTTACAGCCTTTGTACTTCCCACTGCTGTGTAAAGAGCTCCTTTCATTTCTGAGAGGATTTTGGAGCAGTTAGAACGCGGCGCTGGTCCTACTGGAATTCACGTCTTCGTGAGTAGGAGTAGGAGAAACAGAAAAACAGAAACACGACAACGCATTCATCATTCGATGACCTAGCTAATAACAAAGTAAAAAGTCCAAAATTGTTTATTTATTTCATTTACTAGATCTCTCTGTCTTAGGGACCTTTTGAGTAACTACCCCCTTTGACTATTCCTGTCGCAAAGCATCAGTGTACTGCTGTGTTCTGGTTTTAAGAGTAAAAAACAATAGTACTACTGCTGTGAAGCATTTCATTTTAGTCCTTAGTGTAGATAACGCATTTGCATCACTCATTGTTTAAAGCCCATGGGCTACAAGTAGCCACATATCATCAGGCGAAAATGATATATATATAATAGAAATTATCCTACTTATGAACTTCTATCCAATGAGGGCATCCACGCCTTTTTTGCCACCAGGGCGGCGCCACTTAAATATGAGGTATAATATTTGACAGATTTCATAGCAGGAATGTTAATTAGTTCGGGCGGCGCTACCTAAATATGAGGTATAATATTTGACAGATTTCATAGCAGGAAAGTTAATTAGTTCGGGCGGCACGACTTAAATATGAGGTATAATATTTGACAGATTTCATAGCAGTAATGTTAATTAGTTCGGGCGGCGCTACTTAAATATGAGGTATAATATTTGACAGATTTCATAGCAGGAATGTTAATTAGTTCGGGAGGCGCTATTTAAATATGAGGTATAATATTTGACAGATTTCATAGCAGGAATGTTAATTAGTTCGGGAGGCGCTATTTAAATATGAGGTATAATATTTGACAGATTTCATAGCAGGAATGTTAATTAGTTCGGGCGGCGCGACTTAAATATGAGGTATAATATTTGACAGATTTCATAGCAGGAATGTTAATTAGTTCGGGCGGCGCTACTTAAATATGAGGTATAATATTTGACAGATTTCATAGCAGGAATGTTAATTAGTTCGGGCGGCGCATCTTAAATATGAGGTATAGTATTTGACAGATTTCATAGCACGAAAGTTAATTAGTTCGGGCGGCGCGACTTAAATATGAGGTATAATATTTGACAGATTTCATAGCAGTAATGTTAATTAGTTCGGGCGGCGCTACTTAAATATGAGGTATAATATTTGACAGATTTCATAGCAGGAATGTTAATTAGTTCGGGAGGCGCTATTTAAATATGAGGTATAGTATTTGACAGATTTCATAGCAGGAATGTTAATTAGTTCGGGAGGCGCTATTTAAATATGAGGTATAATATTTGACAGATTTCATAGCAGGAATGTTAATTAGTTCGGGCGGCGCGACTTAAATATGAGGTATAATATTTGACAGATTTCATAGCAGGAATGTTAATTAGTTCGGGCGGCGCATCTTAAATATGAGGTATAGTATTTGACAGATTTCATAGCAGGAAAGTTAATTAGTTCGGGCGGCGCGACTTAAATATGAGGTATAATATTTGACAGATTTCATAGCAGTAATGTTAATTAGTTCAGGCGGCGCTACTTAAATATGAGGTATAATATTTGACAGATTTCATAGCAGGAAAGTTAATTAGTTCGGGCGGCGCGACTTAAATATGAGGTATTAATATTTGACAGACTTCATAGCAGGAAAGTTAATTAGTTCGGGCGGCGCAACTTAAATATGAGGTATAATATTTGACAGATTGAAAATGTAAAGGTTAATGTTTCTTTCTTTACTATTAGTTAATAAATAAACCAAACCACAAATGTTCATAAAAATAAAAAATTAAATAATTAAAAACGTGCAAAAAATTAAAGAGTAAACCACTGAGGCATTGTTTTGTGTTAATTTAAATTTTTATTATCATTTTTTTTTATTTTTTTTAATGGTCTCCTGGGAGTTGATTACGTAAATTTTAATTATACATTTACTGCATTCGTCCTAATTGAAAATGAATAAATTACAAGGAATTATTGTCCAGGGAAATACAGCATGGCCGATATTTAACAGGGCCAAAGTTTCTTGTTTGTATTTACATCACTACACAACTAATTACTAAAAACTATTGAACAAATCATCAATTATTATCGGTGATCACACCACTCAAAATAAATTTGGTCCTGTAAAGAACTTCGAAGGAAATCACTCAAGCCAAACAAAACTTAATAAATATTAGGATGGAATAAATATTGGTCTAAGGAATGCCATGTTAGTTTCAGGAGTGAATACACATAATATGTGATCGCCTTTGTTTGAAGTTGATTGCAGTGTCCATGGGCTACAGTACACATATATAGATAACGTCAGGTAGACTGTTACGAGTAGATCGTTTGTCACTCTAATCTCTACATAGTATAAAACAAAGTCGCTTCCCGCCGTCTTACACGCTTAGATCTTTTAAACTACGGATTTTGATGCAGTTTTCATCAATAGACATAATGATTCAAGAGGAAGGTTTATATATATAATACATGCATAATATGTATTGTATAATTCTTCTGTCCGTGTGTATGTGACTGACCTACTAAACGGATGGATCGATTTTGATGAAATTTTGAGTGTGTGTGATTAAGCAGATTAGAGAATGGTTTTGATTCACAATTAGACCCGGTAGGTGGCGTTGTTGTCGAGATCCAGAAATCAGCCGTGCGTAACTGGAGCGGATCGCTAGTGTTATAGTAAAAATTAGAGCGGAGAAAATTTGTCTTAGATAATGAATATTCTAATATTAATAGAATTAATGCTAGGTTATTATTAACTGTTTCTACCCTTAACTAGCACAAAACACGGTTGCGTTGCGAACGAAGCGAAATTATGTCAAAATATATAAGTACAGAATATACAGGTATTTTACATTAAGACGACTACAAAAACGTGCACAGTTGTAGTCGCATAACACTGCTGTGACAGTGGCGGGGACATTACGCCAGTATACAGTGATGCTACATCAACCGAGTTTAGATCAACCACTGATTTACGTAACACTATTGAGCAAACTCCTCGGCCGATGACGCTGTTTGAGCGGCGCGGCGCGGCGGAGCGATTACTCGAAAGTTAATTCTACTCAATTCATCTAAAAATTGTTTCCAGGCCGAATTTAGAGCATAATGAACTTTGCGTAATAATAATGAAGCAAAATACCATCGCATAATTTACGTAGCTTAGAAATGGCGTTAAAAGTTAATAAAACATTTTTTCAATGTCGTTTATAGCAGGGGTGGCGAACCTTTCTGTATCTACGTGCCATTTTCTAAAGAAATGTAGTAATGTAGTAGGATAGGATCACTCGTGTTCGTTCCTTTCGTTTCGTCATAGTAAACTTTGTGATCGGTGGCGTGCCCAAAATATTGTGTCGCGTGCCATTGGTTCGCCATCCCTGGTGTATTGCACTTACTACGTTGACATCTGCGTTTTAAAGGAGTGTTTGAACATTTCCATTTGGATTTATTTGAAACTAGCGATCCGCCCCGGCTTCGCACTGGTGATTTTTCTGGACCTCGGCAACAGCGCCATCTACCGGGTCCAATTCTGAATTGTTTATATCATCCAGGGACTCACTCAAACACACAAAAAATTTCATCAAAATCAGTCCAGCCATTACGAGTTTTTGCGACACTAACGGACAGCAATTGATTTTTATATATTGAGATAAAAGACAATAAAGCAGACGACTGAAGGACGTAATTACATATTTCGTATAATCTTATAAATAAAATAAATGTTTGTTCTATGTTCCTCTTATAGAAGACAGGCATTTCTATACCTATCATCCAATAACTAAGAAACTATGCACACGCCCGAGATATAGTTTATGACAAATAATAATTATAACTTTTAACAAAAAGTAAAAACCGACTTCAAATTGCTAAAAAGAATTTATTTATTAGCTACCAAATTTATATGCGACCACCCTTGAAGTATAAACCTATTTAATAAAAAAAAATCATTAAAATCGGTTCTCAATCTGCGAAGAAATCATATGGTCAATCATAATCAAAACGGGACATTATAGACTTATAGTATATTAAATGATGTATATATAAAGAAGATATTCGTGAGTACCATTAAACGCGGACCATCTCACAAATGTGGGGTAAGTTATCAATACAAATCTGGGTTTACTAACTCCTCAAACCGACATCCTTACGATGACTTGTACATGTAAACAAATAATACACAAGTGGTAAAATTAAAAATTTTGTACAACCGACATCAATATAAATAAAATGAGAACATCATCAATGTAGTCGAAGTCAATAAAATACGCATTATCAAGGATAACTCAAAAACTACTGGTCAGATCTTGATAAAATTTATATGGATCTATAAGCACCAGCTTACAATTAAAAAAAATTTAAAAAAACGGTTCCCCTAGAGAAAAGTGCAGTCGAATTAAGAACCTCCTCTTTTTTTTTAAATCCGTTGAAAAAAACGTGTCATATGTTTTTTTTAGTAAGTAATAATAATGTTATTGATGTTAAAATATTGAAACTAAATTTAAAGGGCCTTAAAGTTCGATTAAATTATCAAAGGAGTAGTAGAAGTATTCAATAAGAAAGCATAAAGAGAAATGAATAATCAACTTACCGCTCTTGTTGTCCATGAGGTCCCTGTACCACGCGTAAATGCTTGCCATTTTCACTATTTGTGTTTAGCCAACAAAAAAAATCTGTAACAAAAAAAAATCCTGTAATGCAAACTACTTATGTTAATTAGTACAGTTCAATACTATTTTTACGAGGTGTTTCCGCGTTTGGGACATTAAAGTAACATCGAATAAGGTGGTGTGAAGGTTGGTCTTGTTCCGCACCATGCGGCTATTTCGAGCGACCGCGGATTCATGTTAATTCAGCATTTCGTGGACTTTGCTCAATGATATATTCACCAAGTAGAAGTAGGTATGCAAGTGTTATTAACGATCTTCACAGTCAAACGTCGCAGCGTTCCAATGTTTATGCGTTTAGCTATCTTACCAGAGATTATTTTTATGTAAAACTAGCTGATACCCGACCGTTTCTCTGTTCAATTATCGATATTTTTTTGAATTGCTGTGATGATTGTTATTGAAAGGATCTTATGTCTTATTCCACGACAAATTTCTTTAGAATCCATTCAGTCGTTTCATTCGTGATTGAGGGACAAACATCCAAACAAATATACTTACACAATTACAATATTAAAAGTAAAAATAATGATTAACATGCAAATCTAGCATCTTTTGAAATACTAAGATAATAATTCGGCAGTTTGCAAATTTCAAAGTAAATTCAACGCGACAGACGGACGCGCAGAAATGTTTCATCATCAAAACACAAACAAATAAATAAAATTGAAGTGTCTTATTGTAATGTCAAAATTACAGTTTTTTACTAAATGCATATGAAAGTAAATACGGTACTTACAAATAAAATACAATTTTTAAAATTTTTGCCTGTTTGTTCCGGCTAATCTCCGAAACAGCTGAACCGATTTTGACGGGACTTTCACTGGTAGATAGCTGATTTCATAAGGAGTAACTTAGGTTACTTTTATTTTAGAAAAAGAATTAGGGTTCCGCGCAAAAACTTAAAAACCCTAACACGCGGACGAAGTCGCGGGGAACAGCTAGTAAGAACATTACAGTCGTCATGGATGACAACGCATCTGCATTTTTTGATTCTATATTGAGGATAGATGTAGATGTGTATGAGTCACATCATCCACTTACCATCAAGTGGACTGTGTGCTATCCTATATAAAAAAGTAACTCAAATAAAAGGTAGATAAAAATTCTCAGTTCACTCACAGACAGACGATAGCTTTATTTGCTTCGTATGATAACACAAATGTACGATAGACAAACGATTCCAATCCTGATAAAACAGTGATATGATAATAAATAGATAAAAACATCACACCCCTTGTTGGCTATAGCTGATAGCCAATCCGTGAAAAAGTATAGCGAAATATTGTAATATAGAACCAAGAAACTGTATCAGCCTTGTTACAAAAAACAGTTTTAATTAGTCTCAGGCTTAAATTAGAAAAGACGTTCCGTGGAAACATATTATGAACTAAAATGTAAAGTATGGAGTTTGTCAGCTACTGTAAAATTTTGCGAAGACTGTGGCGCTGCGGCTAAGTGACTTCTTGAGTTAGAAGGATTCTTCTTAAACCATAGTATAAACTTGAGATTATCAATAAATCACTTTTGGTAATAAGACGACATAAGCTCATTCCGTTATAATACAAATCAATAGGCGCTAAACCGGTGTACATTGATGTTTTGTTCAGTTAATAGTTTTAGAGTACCTACTAGGCCGATAGACTAATACACCAATAAACATTTATTTTGTATAAAGATAGGTTACAAATTGGAAATGGAAATGGTACATTGATACTTGTGGTAGGACTCCTTTTCTGCCGAGATTCCGTCTCAGTAAGTACCGACCTCTTACCTTCTACCACTAAGCAGCAGCGCAACCATTCCTATGTTCCGGTGTGAAAGGTAACAGAGAGCCAGTGTAGTCGCAGGTTGTGGGGTGTTCTAGTTTAATATTCAGAGACGACAACGCAACTAACAGAAGCCACTTATCAGGTCGACTGTGATGTGAGCTCGGTTATCATTTTAATTTCACATAAGCAATATATACTATATAGGCGAACTTAATTAGGTCTCAATTTTACGATTTTTTTTTATAGGATCGATTGACAAACGAGCACACAGTCCACCTGACGGTAAGTGGTTGCTAGACATCTACATTTATCTTCGTTTGCGAATCAAAACGCAGATGCGTTGTCACCCGTGAGGACTAAGATGAAATGCCTCTTTTCCAGTAAAAAGGGTCTCCGGTTCTCTACACTCACCATACGAAACACAGCAGTGTTAAACTGCTATTTGACGCTGGTTTTCTGTGAGAGCGTGGTCCTTCCCCGGCCGAGCCGACCCATTCGTGCTACAACCATAATATAGCTGCAGCATAGCTCTACCACGTAAAAACGATTACAAATTATTACAAAAATATATTTTTAGGATGTACTGGTATAATTGTATGCCCTTTGTTTATCGACCTCAACTTTTAAATAGCCTTATTGGAATACTTTCGATTAATTATAAAAAAACAATTCTATTTTTATTTCATTAAAAAAAAATTAAATTATCTGAACAGCGGACCTGGAGTTTTAAGCCAACATGCAATATTTTAGTTAACTAATGATAGAAATAGAGTCAGAAATTGTCAATTTCGTAGGACATTTCACAGCCGCCAGTTATAAAAACTAGAACCGTGCCATTTTCGTATCAGTAAGATGTAGCGCTTGTGCGATATGACATACGAAAGCTTTTGAGTGATAGGTAAAGTTCGGTTCGCTAAATCCAGACACGTAGAAAATTGAGTACCACTTGCGCATGTCACTTCTCCGACACGATGGTTAACATCATTTTAAAACGTATTCCAAAGTGCCGACCGAACATAAGGTGGTCTTAGGTACAAGCAGAAGGAAATGATTGTGTAGTAACATATAAATTATCGACTCAGACATGGGTCTTTTGTCATTATTAAAGTCCAACAAAATTTCTTCCCCTATAAAGCCGTCAGTCTATAGACAATCTTTGGGAAATAAAGGTTATTCATTAACTGTATTTCCCGTAATGTATGACAATGGCCACAATCATCACCATTACTATTCTAGACAGTCAAATGTCATGAGAACATTGGCTCCCCATAGATAGTCTTATAGGCAGGTCCCGTGATGTATGACCATTGCCATAATCATCACAATTAATATTCCAGACAATCAAATGTCATGAGAACATTGGCTCCCCATAGATAGTCTTATAGGGAGGTCCCGTGATGTATGACAATTGCCAAAATCATCACCATTACTATTCCAGACAGTCAAATGTCATGAGAACATTAGCTCCCCATAGATAGTCTTATAGGCAGGTCCCGTGATGTATGATCATTGCCATAATCATCATCATTACTATTCCAGACAATCAAATGTCATGAGAACATTGGCTCCCCATAGATAGTCTTATAGGGAGGTCCCGTGATGTATAACAATTGCCATAATCATCACCATTACTATTCTTCGATTTATGATTTTGCCATAGTTGCCACGCTTGGCAGGCGGGTTTGCAGAAACCGCTGCCTATCACGTTTTATTACCTTCTGTTGCCTCCTGTGGCGAGTGGGTTTACTTACGCCCGCACTACATGACAAACTGGCCGTGACACTTTAATATAACGCGCAATTTACCGAACCATACAACAGTTCTCGAAACTAGCCAGAAGGACAATTATCACGGTAAACTTGTTAAGTAGAAGTGTATTAAGTTGTCTTAATCAGCAAATAATTACTCAAAAAAGATTCGACCTCAAACAATAATTGTCCTTAATATTCATTAAAAAGAAGTTTAGTCAGAGTAGACCGACAAAAATTCATTATTTAAATGTTGTGTTTGATCAGTCTACTCTGACCAAATGGTCTTCATGATTTTAATAAATAAAAAGAATTGTTTAAGGTCGATATTTATTTTATGTATTGATTACAAATCAAATAATAGTATTTGCTCTGGTATTTTTATTTTCTTCTTCCGACAAGAAACATAAACCTATTTGTAGAGTGAATTTGATCTACATATTATATACATATATGTATATAGAGGTTTGCAGTTTTGCGCGCATCAGGGTAAAACTACTGGATGGATTTCAATTAGGTTTTCTAAGTTTTATTTCTTCGACACTTGGCCCTGATCTAAAAAAAAAAAATATTGCGATATCTTCATTTAATATAGTTATTAAAGTTTTAAGAAACAAGGATTTTTATAAGCACTACGTGTTCCAGTGATGTTTGTAAGCAACGCGGACGAAGTCGCGGGTTTCAGCTAGTGTACATATAAACATAATAAAAAAAAGATTATTCCATTATATGTAAGTATAAACTCTTTCATTATTTTTAACTGCATCTCAAGAAACAAATGTTTAAGAAATAAATTATTTTTATGATTTCTATAAACACTTATACTTACTTACTTGTTTCACAATATTTTAAATTATTAATTTACTACCTATAAAAACCGAAAGGTTCCTCGGAAGCACAATTGTTTATTAAAATCACAAAAATAAAGTTGGAATTTTCCAAGTGATAATAATCGCAAGTATAAATTATACATAAAATTACTGATTAAAAACTGTAACTAAGTTACGACTGTCGTAAAACATGCGTCAGCTAAATAAAAGGTCTTTCTGGTTTTTCCCCAGTCTCCTCTTACACCGTCATCACATCGCTAAAAAGCCTGTTTAGAATTCATGTTTGTATTTCGAAATTCTTCAATCAGTTCGAGAATTACAATTTTTTTCTCCGACTCAAAAATGATTGCCTATTTTTTATACTATGTTAAATCATACAATAATTGATTTCATTAATACATATAAATAAAATTGGAGTGTCTGTCTGTAATATCGAAATAACTGTTTTTTTAAGCTGAGGGGATTATTTGATTGTCATTAAGACATGAAAAAACGTTTTATTTTTATTTTGTATGAACGACTGAGCCCATTGTAGTGAAACTTCACAAACACAGAGAGCAATACCCGGAGTGATCCAGGTTATTTTATCCAAAAAATTGGAGATTTTTTTTGAGAAATTAAAA